AATGTTGCAGAATTCGCGAAACTCAATGAACTGTGGTCGGAGCGAAGACTATGTCGTTCATTATAAACCCATTATGGTACCTACCTGTTACTTCAAACTGAAGCCTTTTAGAGCATAATGAGATTTACTTGAAAAGATTCACAATGGAAAACACAATGCTATAAGCTCGCTTGATGAATAGTTGTTGACTTGAATGTAGGATTATCTGGGCAATTATCGGTCAGTTGTATAGCATTAGGCTTAATAAAGTATGAGGAAATATTCAATAGGCGCGTTTAGTACTGTTCTATATGTAAATGCAAAGTCCTATTCGAATCCTTTATTTTTTTCTCTTTTAACGTGTTTCTTTTTTGATTATCGAGCGTGAGATGAACGTGCATTATTCACATCGTGACAGCAGTTGGAAAAAATTATGAATTATAAAAAAGCTTGAATAAATCACGGCAAATGGCGAATCAACGAGAGGCGCGTTGCAGTCAAATTATGCAGTTACAAAATCGCCCGGCCAACCATGTTTATATAATTCGTATCTGAAGAATGAAGCGATTTAATTATCTGCGCTGACGACACATTGCTGTAACTTCGACGACCGGTTAGCATTAGCCGGAACTTGGACATCCGAACGAGCGATACTTGCTCAAAAATGAAAATTCGCTTGAGCAATAAGCCGAAGTCAATTAAAAAGAAAACGAAGAAGTAAGCTGAAACGGCTACCAGGTGCTCAAACTCGGCTGCCGATTGAAAAAAACAGATAAAAACGCGGAGTGGGAAAGGGTGGAAGAAAAAGGATACGAGACTATCGCGTTGCGCCGAAGCTACGCGCAATTGCAATCGGCCGAAAAATTGAAGCTCAGCCGTTTCCAACGCAGTGGGCGACGCGAGGTAGCTGCGAATCACGGGGCGCGCGCAGGTGACAGGCACGGGGCGCGCGCGTAGCTATAATAACAGCAGTGCCAGAGCCGCATACACACGAGTGCAGCTTGGCAGCTGGTGCGTGCTGATTCGCAAATGATATTCACGGTGGAGCGCGTGCGTTCGATTGCAGATCCGGACGACTCGGCGGACGGAAAAGCCACGAATACGTGTCCGAGATCCACGATCGATACGCGCACGCGTCTCGCAACTTCTACGAAAGTCGATCGCTCGTCGAGCGCCGCCGATCGCCGCGGCTCCACGCAGCATACCGGGCGCATTGCCGCGCGGGGATCGACTCGATTTTTCAAAACACGACCACTCGCCCGCGCCTCACCTGTTTCTTGACTGCCCATTTTCACCAGAGCCAGCCTGTCTCTGTTTTCGTCGGCTCGCGCGTTTCCTACATGTACACATATGCAAATAACCCGAATCTTTGTCCATTCGATTTCTTCTCAAAATCGGTTTTTTCCTGTTATCCAAATTCGATCCCATTTATAAATTCGGCACTCAATAAAAAAAAACCACAGCTAATTTTAAAGATGCGATCGAATTCTATCCTCTGAAAAAGCAGTGGTTGCATATATATATATATATATATATATATATATATATATATATATATATATATATATATATATATAGTCGACCTGCGCGCGACAGATGCGAGCCGCAACGAGCGCGCAGCCAAGTCGAAAATCGATATTTTGAGGTCCGTGTACCGTTTAAGAGGATCTCGAAGCACGTTGCAGGAATGTACTTCGTAGATTTCGTTATTCTTACTTATTTTAAAACTTTTTGTCAATATCTGACCCGGCCGTCGTTCAATATTACTGAACGAAAGAGAGCGGGGGGAGGGGGGCGTCAAATATTGACAAAGAGTGGAAAATTGAAAGTAGAAAGGAAATAACGAAATGTGGGATAATGTGGCTAACTATCTATCCCCTAATATGTATTCATATGGGCTCCCGTGGCTTGAATCCCCTTACCAGTTACCACCCTCCCCCCTTCGGGGGCACCTTGTAGCTTGAAAACGACCGAACGGCATCCTCCCATTCTCGACACCCGACGTCGACGTGTATAATGCTCTCGAGCATTCCTCCCAGCTTTGCGTATTAATGCGTATAATCATCGATACTGCTGTTCGCATGCAACGAGCTCGGCCGTTTGATTCGACCACTGAGTGCACGAGACCGCAGGTCACGCCTATTATTATATATGCAGGCGGCCTTGCGCCCGCATTCAGGTGTCCCGCTGCGAGGACAAATCTGCGGAATCGACGAAACCGCGCGTCGGCCTTTGGCTACGGGAGGGACGACAAGTGAAAAGCGCATTAACGACGCGCTCCTTTGCGGCTGCCTGCGCGACGAGCGGACACTTTACGTGCGGGCAGAGTTAGCCAACGGCTTATCCGCGAGCCAAGCCGCCCAGCACTCGAGTGCGCAAGTGCATCGATCCGTATCCGCGGAGCACGTCTAACGGCGATCTTAGTGCCGAGCTGGCAAATGGCATCGCATCGGTCGCCGCGCTCGACCGCATCACGGCAAAGCCCAAAGGCAGTCGAAGCGCGGCTCTGCTCTCAACACCCCCGCTAGATTTACGAGTGCAGCGTGCATGTACCGGGCGAAAGTGACCGGGCTGCGTGGCCGAGGTACTGTAATTATACACCTGTACCGAGAACCAGACCGAGAGAAGGAGTTCGCCCCGAGGTGTCGAGATTTACTTTTCGGCGAAAGGCTATCGCGCCTACGCATCCCGTTAAAGCCACGGTGCCCGGGCTGTTATTTCTCTCTCTCTCTCTCTTTTATTTTACCTCTCCCCTCGACTTTCTTTCTTTCTCCTCGGAAGGATGCGATATATCGGCTAATTTATTATGCAGAGTCAGAGAAACAAAGGGAGCCTTTGTAGCGTGCGAGGGGAGCAAGTTTATTGTGTAAAATGATAATTTCTTAATTTTCGGGGCTGCGGATTCGATTTTCGTCCATTGTATCATCAAGCAGTTCTTTATTCGTACGCATTTGTTTGCCTCTTTCTTTTTTTTTTCTTTTCTTTCTTGATTTCTCCGTTGCAGGCCAGCGGAATGTTTATTTGCGGCGCGGCAAGCGGGTTTATCGCGGATGCGTTGGCCTGCAACTGCGCATTATACACAGGTGTGTGGGCGATTTCGCGGGTCGCGCGATTTTTCGCAACGACGACCATCGACAGCAGCCTTCGAGGGTGCGACGACGGGCAAATAAATACTGCTGGTCGCCAGGCAGTAGCTGTCGCTACGCGTATTATAGAGGTAAAATACCTTTCGAGAGAGAGAGAGAGACGCGCGCGCGTTTGCTTTGGGACCGGTGCCTGCGCGGTGATGCGTGCGCGTCGTCGCCCGGGGCCCTTGGGTGGGGATGCGAGGCGCGCGCCACAACAGGCCGATAGTGGGGAGGACTCGCTTATTGCTTGCTTATACTCGCTACTCGCTCTCCCCCCGTTTTTTTTCTCTCTCTCTCTCTCTCTCTCTCTCTCTCATCGTTTTTTCAATGTATTCGTTTTCTCGTTCGCTGCTGGCTGGCTCCCGCTCGTAACTTTGTTCGCGTAATAAATGCGGCGTCGCTGCTGCCGCGCTGCCGGGGCTAATTTTTGAGATCGCCCGATCGACCGATTGCCCTCTCTTTACGCGACTATCCAAGTGGCTGTAAATGCACTTGATATGTACAGAGCTCGATTGCCGCTTGCAGGCTCGCCCGTTACGCAACGAACGATATCCATTAGAGGCGCGAACGCGAGGGATAGCCGTTGCATTCCTTTGACAACGCTGCTAACGATCAGTCCAGAACATTACTTCGCTGGGAGGATCATTCGAAAAACGTTGGCCTAGACCGTTTTATCGTAGGTTTATATCTGGGCAGCGTGCACTTAATCTTAGTAGCAGCCCCGTGGCATCAACCTCCCCCTCTAGCTCTCTCTCTCTCTCTCTTCTCATTCTGGTTCGCTCGCCTTCATCCGCCGCTGCTCGCGAGCGAGCCGGAGTGTGTGCTGCGTGCGCTCCCTCCTATGGCTGCTTTTTCGGGCCTGCTGCCGGGCGCGCGCGAGCTGCTCCCCTCCTCCGGCTGGACCAGTCTGGCTCCTGCCTGGTGCGCGCGCGCGCGCCTGCGTGCGCGTGCTTTTTTTCCTCGGCTGCCGCGGTAACTGTTCAAATTTTGACGGCAGGAGCAGGCAGGACGGGGAAGGGGGATGCTGCCGGTGCTGTTGCTGTCGCAACTCATGACTGATGTAGGGCCGCGTGCGCTGGTGTACGCGCGCGCGCGCGCCCGCAGTGCTTCTCAATTCGACGCGCTCTCCGCCACTGGGCTGGCTCCCGATGGGCCCTCCGCTTTTTATCATTCAGATTAGATTCTCCGCTGCCGCACTCCCGTACGCGGGAACCTTAATGGGCTCGCCCTTTCGCGATCTCTCGGATTGGCCGAATGCTTTATTAGACTACCGTCACGGCGGTTTTGGCAGCCGTTCGCGCGCGAGCTCGAGCGCTAGGAGCCGGAGGCGAGAGCGGCTGCGAGCTCCTCGGCAGCCCTATTGCCGGCTGCACTCTCAATTTCCTCGCACTTGTTTCGATTGCAGCGCACTGCTGCACTTGATCTCGCGCGCGCATTCCGCGAGCGAGAGAAAGTCCGCCAGCTCCCATCGGTCGCAGTCAGTTATGGTTGGGGAGTCGTGTGGGCCCGATCGGACCGGGCGGGGGGAGGGATGCGCGGTCGCGTGCCGGCGCACTGCATGCATACTCGCACTTGAACTTGTTGTTGGTCGGCTGGATCGAGGGGAAGCGCGCGGCGAGAAAGGGACGAGGAGGAGAGGACGGGCGGGGGGCAGGGGTTCGCGTGCGCGTGCTCGTACACCGCGCCTCGTCTCTCGGTCGGTACTATAGTAGCAAGAGAGGAGCAGCAGGCCCCTTCGGCGAGAGAGAGAGAGAGAGAGAGAGAGAGAGAGAGAGAAAGAGAGAGACGGAAGGAGAATAACCGGCCGAGTGGTGGGGGACGAGGCGCGTGCCCCGCACCGGTTATATAAGGCCCCGAGCCCTCCGTGCCGAGTTATTTCGGGAGCCACGATCGTCGAGTTCACACGCTCTTCTCTGGCAGCTTCGCTTCAGTCGACTTTTCTCTGTCGCACGTGTTGGACTCACTGTTTTTGTGTGCGTGCCGTTCGACTAGTGCCTGTTCGCCGGCTCACTTGGCGTAGCCAGCAGTACACGCTCGGGCTCTCAGCGTGTCATGACACTGGTGGGCCTTGACGGCAGCAGCAATCTCGTGTCCATGATGCTGAGCGTGCAGTCGCAGTACCAGCAGTCGTCGATCGGCCACCGCGGCAACGTAATCGTCGCCACGAGCGGCGGCGGCGGCGGCGGCGGCGGCGAGGCCGCCAAGGCGCACCAGCAGCAGCAGCAGCAGTCCGCGGCCCAGCAGAAGAAGAAGATGTACGCGCAGTCGGCGCCCTACGGCGGCAGCAGCGGCGGCGGCAGCCAGCCGGCCTCGGTGGCGAGGAGGAACGCGCGCGAGCGCAACCGCGTGAAGCAGGTGAACAATGGCTTCGCCACCCTCAGGCAGCACATCCCGCAGAGCCTGGCCCAGGCGCTCGGCTCCAACACCGCGGGCACGCACGGCGGCGCGCGCGCCGGCAGCAAGAAGCTGTCCAAGGTGGAGACCCTGCGCATGGCCGTCGAGTACATCCGCAACCTGCAGCAGCTGCTGGAGGAGCACGACGCCGAGCTCGGCAGCTCGTCCGTCGGCGACGGCAGCCTCGGCTCCTCGCCCTCGCACAGCCTCTCGCAGCCCGCCGACCTGATCAAGTTCGAGCTCAAGTCCGAGAGCGGCGACGAGCACTACCAGCGGCAGGTCAGCCCGCAGCGCCAGAGCCCCGTCTACGCGCCGGCCTCCGGCAGCTCCGACGCCGCCAGCTCGCCCACCCCCAGCTTCGTCTCCGACACGTCGTCGCAGGGCGGCCCCGCGCCCAACTACGGCGCCAACTTCACCACCGCCATCTACCCGGCCGACGGCTACGAAAACTACGACCCCATGAGCCCCGGCGACGAGGTGCTGCTCGACTACATCAGCAACAACTACATGTGGCCGTAGCCGCGGTGAGCCGCCGCACTCCTGGATCCTCTCTCGCCCCCAGCCGACTGGACGTCGCGCCGCGGGCCGCTCGCTTTTTGCCAGGTTGGTGGCCCCTTCTCGCCTTCCGACGACCCGTCGCGGTCGATCCCGGCGAATCGTCGTCGGCCCGCCGCGCGTAAAATCATTAACGAGGCCCGCGTTCTCGGGCGAGCGAGCGCTCGCCTCTCGCAGGGGGAGAAAAAAAAAGAGCGAGATTTGTGACCTTGCCCCTCACAATGCGCGCGCGACCCCTCGGCTACGAGCCATTCATGCATTCACTATGGGTATGGGGCGTCTTTGTCCGCCGGATTTCTTTGGAGCTGCGCTGCGCTGCTCTCCTCCGTCCTCCCTCTTCTTTCAAAGCGGCGCGGCGCGCTTCTTTTCCCTCCCCTTCGCCGAGGCAACAGAGCATTTTCCAGCGCTCGGCTCGCTGCCGGTCCGCCCCTAATGCGCGCGATTCCTTTTTCGTTGCGCCGACTCTGTCCGTCTCCCTATCTCTCTCTCCCTCTCTTTCTTTCTCGATTCTATACGCCGTAGACTTTTATTCGCGCCTTTGCTCTCTCGGAGCTTTTGTCCTCCCTGGTCCCCGGCATCGATCGATCTCTCTCTCTCTCTCTCTCTCTTTGTGCTCGCAATCGGCTCGATTTTTCAAAGTATCGCCTCGGTATCAGCAGTGCCCTGCGGGCATTGAAATCACCGGAGCTAGCTTCGCCCCTCGAATTTTCGCTCGAGCGATCTTCCCATTTTCTTTTTCCGAGTTGGCTCTCTTGGTGCATTCAACGCGAATTCATCCCTCGGGCAGCAAGGATAACACGAGCGGAGGCAAAGAGAAAGAGAGAGAGAGAGAGAGAGGCGATCTCCTTTTGTCGGTGCTGGAACCGGTATGGCGAGTAAGTGCTGCTCACCGCCAGGCCAGCTCCAGAGTTTCGACTCCCGTGTGAAAATCCGGCACGAGTCGGACCTCGCGCTCGCGCACTTGGTAGTTAGCTTAGCATATTGATTGCCTACCGACGTCTGTTAATTTATGGTTTTAATCGCTGCCCGTTGGGAGCTTGGCCCGAGTGGCCGCGGCCGCCGCGAAAAGTGTTGCCGACCAATATTTATTCGAGATCCGAGGAGTCGTTGCTTTCGGTGGTTCGCCCATATCTGTCTAACTTTTCCTTTTCTCCGCGTATACCTGGCTTCGGTAGGCCGTACTGCACTTAATGTAAGCCCGCCCTTAGCTTTGCCTCTCTCTCTCTCTCTCTCCCCTATGTATACCTGCTCGGCCGGCCTGCGCGCCTATCGTGCCGGAGTACTTATAATACGACCCTCTCCAAATGGCTTTGCTCATGAAATATTTGTCTTGATTTTTGTTGCAGAATGCCGTGGAAATGAAAAGCGGAAAGCCGATGGAACGTGTAAATATAGCGTGGCGATGGATTGCCCAGCCAAGGTTCGCCGTTATCTAGTCAGCGATGCGTCACAACCACAACGACACTCTGCATGCTGCATCGACGATGCTATGCCCGCGGAGAATTAGACTATTGTGAATAATCTGAGTAGCTGTAAATGTATTTATGCCCGCACCGGTAGATTAAGGGAAAGCGCCCTTGTAACCAATTTTGACAATTTCATTGCTATTTATTCTAATTTAATTTCGCAACGTACTCAAGATGCGAAGCAGTCGCTCGCGAGGTCTCCTTGTCTGGACCCCCCCCCCCCCCCCCGTTCCACTCTCCTTTCGTCTTTCTATCTCGAGGTGGGATACAGTTGTTGTTGCGTACGCGCATCATGTAAATAATCGGGTCCACTTGTCGCTTCGCACGCGAGTTATATACATCTTCGTTGCATTGTGTGCTAATAACATGGGAATAAACCAAGTTCCAGCCGACGCAGTTTAACTGCGAGTCTTGAGATCGATACGAAAGACACGTGCGTGCCTGGAGATTTATCCTGCCATCATTCGACCTTTAGTTATGTAGTGATTGACAGTCTTAGCTGTCTCTGTTTCTGCGTGGACGATCGGCTAGAAATACATGTGCCTTATATAAGATATAATATAGATTACTGCGATTAACATACTTTTTGGCTGTAATGCGTGTATGTATATTATGTATCATATTTGTATATATTCATATATAGATCGCAAGATCAACCGTTACTATTTTAAATAAGAAGTTATACTGAAAATTACGGAAAGTTTGCGTTATTTCAATTCCATCCCATCCACGTCCATCAACATTTCAGACAAACAATCCGACGAATAATGGCATCGGGCGTCCTACATTTTCGGGGCCTACAGCGCATTCACCTGCATGCCGTAAATAAAAATATTCTTGGCAGAGTGCAGCGCACACGTGCGCTCCCTCGCAACCGAGCCGCAGCCAAAAGTGAGCTTTGAGAAATCGATCGTCGAGAAAGATAAGTACGATGCTCGGTGAACCGCCTGTGGCAAGTCGGCGGGGGTGAAAAGTGCAGTTTAAGACAGCGAATCGTTCGAGCGCTCCGCAACATTTCGCGCGCTTTACTCGACGTGCAATCAGTTAGCTGGCATTTGTCTCCGTAATTATCATCACCGCCGCATCGTATTTACAACAATACAATGCGTCGCGTCTACTTTGCGAGGTCTTAAACTTACGCCGGGCGTGTATAACTGCTTTGTCGGTTTCCAAGAATACAAGGGACGAGTAGATACAGTTTTGCTCGCGCGCATCGCTTGAAGGCGATGAATTAGTACCGAGTCCGACGAGTAGACGTGGAGCGAGAAACGCTCGCGCGTTATTTATTGATTTCCTTTTCAATTTATTCGGCGTTGGCGCATTTCCAATTCACGGTGCATGCAAATAATGTTTCTGTTAAATCCCACCCTCGGTAACTGGTACTACGCACCAGAAATAGCCTCCGTAATATGTATAAGCGATCACAGCCACCTGCCGTCAGATCTAGCGCTCGGTCAAGTTCAGCGTTTCGCCTTAATTACCACTGATGAATGCTCACAGCGAGATTATTATTTGTTCGACTTCGATCAAATAGCCGTAATCAGAAATTTCCACATCGATGTATAAACATACATAGAGGTAGCTGCGCATTTCGAAGCGAAGTTTATGTGCTACACCTAACCCAACCCCTTCTGGTGTGAGCTATATAAATTGCAGGTATGCCCAATTGTGAGGTTGAAGTTCCCCTGTGCGCATGCGCAGCGAATGGGCCTCGCGCAACAGACTGCCAACTTTGTGCAATTGATACAGATTGTGCGCGCTGCTACATTAGGGATGAGAAAAATAAATAATCCGTCCATATTGCTGGAAAATCATGAAGGTGATAGCCTAATAGCTCGTAGATCATAAAAATTGTATGTCGGCATATGATTTATACGTATATGTATATATAAGTAGTGTTTGCATCAGTTGTACAAATTACAAAGTTGGCATTTTGATCGTCTAAGAAAAGTTGGAGCAATGCTCCACACCAAGCATGTATTTTAACAATTATAAAAAAATATATCTAAATCTTAGGTGGATTTTGACGATTGTACAAATACAAGAATTAAAATTGCAAAATTTCACCGCTAAAAGGAATGCCAGGATGCTACAAATATTGACCGTGTTATAACGCTTTGAATTTTTAAAAAATTGGCATATTTTTGGTAAAAGTACAAAGACGTTGCAAATTTTTTTAATAGCAGGTTTCAATAGTGTGATTTCGGTCCTACAATTTCGTATAATTTGAATAGCTCATACCTCCACAGCCAGACGAGTGTAGGTCTGTGCGACACGCAATTCGACTATTCAATACTCAACGTTTGATTTTGGTTGTCAACATAATCTTTGTTAGGAGGAGTATCTACGCAAAACGCCCATTACATTGTAATTTTTCGGAAAATTGCTCTCATCCACTCGAAATCCATCTGTCTACATTCATGACAGATCAAATATCAACGATGTACTTAATTACCAAAGATGTACTGACGAAAGAAAAAATATTTCAGGAACGTACGTGTTATTAATGAATTTCCGCCGGCTCTATCTTACGCCTGAACGTTGCAGCAACGTAGCAACGGCATTAAAGCTCTCGAGGTAGGCCATTAGGCTCACATTTATAGTACCTGTAATATAGTGGATTTAACGAATTCTTGTGGTTGAGCCTCGGCACGCGATGCTCAATGCACTGCAGGCGCCTAAAGGGGGCCAGGCCGGCACATATACGTTCGTTTTAGCAGCGCACGCGTTGCAGTGGCGCGCTCGCCCGCCTGTTATCCGCCTCTCCGTCGTGCGCGCGCTTATTTACCGTTCAGTCTTTCCTCGTATTAGCAGCCCTCTCCCTCTTTTCTCGTCTGCGTGATTGATCTGCCTCTCGTCTCTATGACTTTCGCGCTCTCGCGCGCATCTTCGTCTTCTCGGCGATAATTATTACAGCTGCATTGCGAAAGCAATATCGCCTAAAAATTAGCGTTATCGTCACGGTAAACCTGGGACGTGATAACAGTTCATGGATTCTAATTATAAAAACGGATAAATTATTACGAATCTAAGTATAAAAATTGTTCAACGCACTTCAAGAAATATTACAGTTCCGTACTGTAATGTTTTTGACAGATAATATTTGTAATGAATTTATAGAATTTTTCGGACGATATTGATGAATTTCTACATTATGCACGTTGAATTTTCCAGTTCCATCTTAGTCATTTGTACTGATGGTAAACTGCAAAATTTCACAAAGGCAAAATGGTGTCGCTGCGGATGTTCCATTCGCGCAGCACGAGTGAAAACATTTGTTATCGTTGTACGTTCCTAAATTGAAGGCAAAATAAAAAATTCGATTAATTAATTGAGCATCCGATAATGTAAAATCATCTAATAAATTAAAATTCTTCTTTGGTAGTTGCATCAAAAAGTTTGCGGATTGATTCAACATTGTTATAACTTTCAATATCGCGATACTTTGAACCATGTTATCTGTGTTATCGACTAGGAGTGCCGTGTTCGGAAGAAAAATTATACGAAATCACATAAAATTTATACGTCTCAGCTTTACCGTAATGCACTGAAATTTTTGTTGTTGAAAATCATCGTAATTTTTATGAAACATTTCTTTCCGTGTTCCATATTGAGCTTTACTTAGCAAGTTTGTTTTTATATAATCGATATTATTCTCATTCGTCAAACACACTTGGCTTCGTAAATAACATCGACGTTTCTTTACACAAAATGAAAAAAACTGCCACGTTGTAAAGAACATTGTGAAGAAGCTATCATTGTGCTGTTCCAGGAATTTAACCCTCTAGGGGAGACTTTCTAATTTTTGTTTTGCTTAACATTTTTTGGTAATATTCGATGTCCAAGAAGTTGAAATGTTTTAAGCACTTTTCTTGCTACCATTTGACGAGATATATTTTTTAACATTTTCAGAGAAGAAATATTCCTCGGCTAAATATTTGTGCCTAAAAATAAATTGTAACGATTACGTATATGAGATTTTATGGAGAAATCCAAACTGTACGAATAAACGTCAGACGAAATACTATATGTCTTACTTCAATCTGAAAATCATACATAAAAAACGAAAGAACACCTTGTTTCACACTCGAACTTTAAGATCTTTTGAATTTATGCCGAAACACGCAAAGATCTTAATAGCTAGGAAACCATGAGATCAGATGAGACCACCGCGTTTTCCTCGACTTACCGCCTGCTTTTACGAATTTCCTACGGGGAAAAGAAAACTGTCAATCGCGTATATAAAACTATGCGATGGAATTGCGATAAACGTCAGACGTGCCTAGATCTCACCTGAAACTTCGTTGACCTGGGATACCCTTTCTTCGCTGGCCCTAGCTGTGGTTTTATGCGATTCGACTCACAGATATGGGTCACTGGGTGAATTTCGGGACAATTTGTGATCTCGCCAGGCTTTTCCGTCACGCTTGCCGAGATAATTAAGCCATGCTAACGGTGGCCGACAAAATACTTGTATATTTGTTGGTCGACCTTACTTATGCATCTGCATAACTAAGTATTGGGGAGAATATTTTCCAGGGCCGTGACTAATGAAACCGTAACGAGGGGCTTGCTCTTGCGGTTTATTATTAGCCGTCTTTGAGAGCACTGAGCGATGGCAAGTCGCCGATTGTACACAATTTATCTTATGGGGATCATCATTGTTTGGTTGCAGATATGCCTCTGAGAACAAGATAAATATTTAGTGAAATTTCATGAGACCGTCAGTCGATTAGATTTTCATTTTAAACGGGGATGATTTTTTCATTTTAAAGCTCTACTGATGTGGGAGTATTCCGGGGTTAATTGTATTGTCGCACGTAGAATTCCTCTACGTCGCGTCATTTACAAAAGTTTTCAAATCATATAGCGCTTTGAATTGAGTTCAATGTGTAAATAAGAATTAGACGCCTGAAAAGACTTAACTAACGGACTCAATCAATATTAATTTTATGTGACTGAAAGCATTTTTTAGAAAAGTTTGAGTCTTACGAAACCACAATTTATTATTGCCATGTGTTGCAGTGTGAATTACGATATGAATTTCGTAAATCAACATTCTGATGGTTCGGTTTTTTTTTTAACTTGGAGAAGTCAATTTGCATACTATTTTGTAAAATACAAGTTTGTTTGTCCCCGAATCATCTCGAATAAAAAAATCATACAAGATGTAATTAGTCAAAATTTTCATCATGACAGCAATACTCCGAAAATGAAAATGCTCATAATTTTACAAACGATACTATTCTAATAGATACAGAACGCAAGTTAGGTTATAGCATTTCAATTAATAATTTCGTAAATCAATGTTACTGTAGTTGATGCCGACGTCGCGAAGAGCAAAGGCAACGAGCATAGCCGCGATGGAAATCTTGCGCAAGGGCTTAGTCCGTGCCTGAGAAATGCTGGAAAATTCGTAGAAAAAGACAAAGAAGCTGGAAAGGAATCAAAAGCCGCGCACCACGGAGGCTGCGACGATCGGCCTTTTCAGGCGTGCCCTCGGCCGTGGTCGCGCTCAGTTTGACGGATGCTCGCCGATAAAAATCTTCGGGTGCCGGTTTTCGTCCCGGCGAAATCATCGGGAAATCGGTCCACGGATCGACGTTGCCGGCGCGAGTTTTCGGTATTTCGTTGTTTTCTGTTTT